AGGCTTTTAAGCATCTGTTGACTTCCAAATTGCCTGAAAGCATAGAGACCATCTAGCTGCTTAGAGTGGGATCTGGCTCATAGTTAGCCATGACTTATGCGATATGGAATGTCTGGAGCTCAAAATGGAGGGGGACACATTGGGATGGGAAAGGTGTTTGTTTTTTTTAAGAAAAATACCCTTTACTTCACACCATGCATATCACCATATGCAATGATCAAAATCTGTGACAGGTCCTTTTGCCAGACATAATGATACAAGCCAGGAACGTGGCAAGCTGTATTGTGTAGACCAGGCCTAAGGCAAACAGTTTCTAGCAGAAGGAGAAGGAGATTGGGTTTATACTGCGCCCTTCACTCGGAGCCTCAGAGCAGTTTACAATCTCCTTTCCCTTCCTCTCCCCACAACAGACACCCTGTGAGGTAGGTGGGGCTGAGAGAGCTCTTTTGAAAACTGCTCTTGAGAGAACAGCTGTGAGAGAACTTGTGACTTACCCAGGGTCACACCAGCAGCTGCATGTGGAGACGTGGGGAATCAAACCCGGTTCTCCCAGGTTAGAGTCCATGCACTTAACCAACCACACCAAACTGGCAAAAAAACTGTTCTGGAACTGTACCACTTCAAACTTTAGGCGGGGAAAGCACATGAAATATTCCCTCCATTGAAAAAAAATACCTGCCCATTCATAGAAAAATAGCATGTCAGGAACGAGGACCCTAGAAAGAAAGTGGGGATGAAGAGAAGCAAGGAGAGGCAAATATTTGCATTACAGAATTAAATGTGACTTCACCGTTTCAAGTTGGGCCGGAAAAGATGGAAGACAACTCTAAAAATATACTGGACACCGGCCCCGTGGGTTTCTAAAACATGTTTTGACTTGCCCAGAGACTCAGGGAACAGACAGCCACCAGACTGGAAGAGATTCTTCTTCGCTGATACTACACATTTCTTCTTCTTCTTCTTCTTCTTCTTCTTCTTCTTCTTCTTCTTCTTCTTCTTCTTCTTCTTCTTCTTCTTCTTCTTCTTCTTCTTCTTCTTCTTCT